CCGGGAAGAACGCAATGATGGTGCCAACTTGGGCCAGTGAAGCAACGTCCTCCACAACTACACTGAAGAACAAAACGACAGCAACTTGTCTGTACCCAATTCCCCAATAAAAATCTTTAAAAAAACGAAACAAAAAAAAAACAAAACAAAACTGTGAAGCATTGCAATCCATTAGATGCAATGGTTTTTATTGGCAAGTGTAAATATTAGTTCATACGTGAACTATAGGGCTGAATTTGAATAATATCTTTAAAGTAAAAACTTATTTTTTTCCTTTAAAAAATTTTAAAGTTTTCAATTATAGTTGATATACAATATTATAGTAGTTTCAGGTATACAACATAGTGATTAGGCATTTATATAACTTATGAAATGATCACCCCAATAAATACAGTATCCATCTGACACCACACATAGCTATTAAAATATTATTGATTATATTCCCTATGCTGTACTTTACATTCTTTTGACTATTTTTATAAATGGCAATTTGTACATCTTAATCCCTTCTCTTTTTACCCATCTTCTGAACCCCCTCCCATCTGTCAACTATCAAAATGTTCTCTGTTATCTATGGGTTTGTTTCTGTTTTATTTCGTTTTTTAGATTCCATATATAAGTGAAATTATACTGTATTGGTTTTTCTCTATCTGACTTATTTCACTTAGTGTAATACCCTCTAGGTCCATCCATGTTGTTGCAAATGGCAAGATTTCATTCTTTTCTATGGCTGAGTAATAGGTTTATCGTATATACAAGTATGTACCACCTCTTCTTTATCCATTCATCTATCAATAATGAACACTTAGGTTGCTTCCTTATCTTGGCTATTGTAAATAATACTACAATGAACATATAAATTTGGTTTTAAATGACACATTGGCATCTCTTACTTGTACTGGGATCCTTTTAGCAATATCAACAATTAATTCCACATTTGCATAGTTGTTGTTGTTTGGTCCTCCTGGCACTGGCACATAGTGATCTGCCATCTTAATGTACTCTGAAAATACAAGCAAATTAATAGAGACTACATGCTTTATTTTCTTAAGTATAACAGCAAAGCAAAACTATGTAAAGGACAAGTACCCCCATAGGTAACCACAGGACAAACTGCATCAATGGGGTAATTTCTAGGACCATCTATTTGGAGACTCTGACTTTATTAAGTCACAGGCCCTAATATATACTAATCTCATATTTAGGAAGCTCTAATACTAAAACAGCAGTTCTCAAACATTTCATTATGTTACCTTTCTGAAGAGTCTTTATGATCCCTATATCAAAAATAATGTGTTTGTCATTTAGAGGCCCATGTACAATTATTCTATCCTGGGTAAAAGTTCTAGTCCTGGCACCCTTTATCTTTAACTTGCACTGTACTCTGAGAAAGCCCTTTTCTTGATGTAGAGCTGGGATAGAATGGGGACAGAGGGTAGAGCCAGGAGGGTTTATAGACTGGCCAAACAGGAAAGGTTAGATACAGGAGTCTACTAGATGTTTGAAAAGGGTTTATCTGGATCGTTGGCGATAACAGCTTTTGAAAGACACTTTAAAAAAATACTTTCTTTCCCTTCTTACATTTCTTTCTTTTCTTTTTTGCTCAGTATTCCCATTCAAATTTATCACCTAATGTGTCTCTTCCTATTCCTGCAACAATTGTAGCAGAGCAGCTACAATGAGCAGGAACTATACTAATAGGTACTATATATATATAATTTTATTTAATACTCAACAGTCCTACATATGATAGGTATTGTTGGCACCCAGTTTATAGGAAATTATGGATTGGAACAGTTAAATAACTTGCTCAAGGTCCATCTCCACCAAATTTATTAACATGTCTTTTATTCTTAACTTTTAAAGGCTTTAAGTCCCTCAAAGAAAATTCTACTCAAAGATACAAGGCCCTACAGTTTGTTTGAAATAAAAATAGGTTTATTGTTCTCTTTGATTATAAAAGGCAAAGCATGCTAATTATAAAAAAT